TCTTATGCTTATCTATATGCATATAGAAAAAATAAGAAAAAAAAAAAAATTAGAAAAATTATTAAATTAAAAAATGAGAAAAATAACTTTTTTTCTCATTTTTCATTGTTTTTCTTTATAAAAAGTAAAATTCTTTATAAAAAGTAAAATTGCAATCACATATATAATATTTGATACATAATTACATGTACAATTACATGTACAATTATATGTTCATATTTATTTTATATGCATATATATATTTACATTTGATTATATATAGCCTTTTTTTACTGGAAATTTAAACATGCGACATTTTTATGTTAATGCATGTCAATATTAATCAGTATTTGCTACTTTCTGTATAAAATTATCTACATAGTTATCTATAATAAAAAAAAATAATTTTATCTTATCTTTATCTAGGTTATTAGAATGTGTATTATCTCTATTCTTCATCTTAGATAAAAAAAATGTTGTCTTTTTCAAATGTGTAATCAATTTTTTTATCTTAATGTTTAATCAAGTTTAGTATATATCCCTTTATTTAAAACATCTCCTTTTTTATAAACCGGATATTTATGTTTAATGTTTAGATCACTGCTGTCCAAAATTTGTAATTCCGGATATTGACTTGTTAAAGTTTCGCCTCATTTAAAAAAAGAAAATACTTTCAATATTGACTTTTATAAAGAAAGATTAAGAAGGGAGAAAAAGCGGAAAAAGGTGAATATGTATTGCTACGGGGATAGGTACATATTGCTCCTATCTCTTCCTAGACAATACACCATATTCATTTTAATACATAATTACGCTACATTCATTAGTACATCGAGCTGATTTTATATTAGAAATATGGGCTTACTAGTTCTTCATACACACATGTTATATCATCTTAGTCATTTTCATAAAATTTAACATTTCTTCTATACACATCTATACATTTATACATTTTTATTTATATATTTAATATAAGTATATCACGCGAGTTTTACAACGTATGTTTTGAAAGCTATATAGTTTCACTTGAATCAGAAGAATCGTAATAACTTTTCGTTTGAAATGTTAACAATTTTCTTACTGTAGATGTAATAACATTCTGCTGAATAGCCACTGAATTTTTAGATTTTTCCGAGATCTCTTTATTTTTCGATAAATTAGTTTCCTCAAGTATTTCCAAAGTATTTGATAATATTGTTTTTTGCACAGATGTGACTGGTCTATTGTTTATAAGAGAAGAGAAAGATGCATTTTTCCTCGTATCATCGATTCTCAACTTAATATCGCTATTAGATTCTTTAGCTAATTGTTTATTCGTTTTGACTTCTTTGATTGATTTAAATTTAGTTTTTCCATTGTGCGTTCGATTGTGCTTTTCAAGAGAAGAATTTAATGAGCCTAAATGTCTTTTACTATACTTCTTCGCAAGAGAATCATTAAAGATTTCTTTTGAATTGATACTATCATGATATCGCAATCTATTGTGAATAGAATTCGTTAACATTTTACGAGTAGGTGAAGTATAATTATTACTTTCTTCAGAATCTGAAGAGTTTGTGTCAAATGTTTTTGTTTGGAAGATTATAACGTGGGCGTTATCTTTACAATCTATTCCATTTTTTTTTATTGCTCCATTTGAATGCCTTAAACTGTTATTACTTATATTTTCCTTACTATCAAAGAACAAAATTTTTTTCTTATCTTTATTTGAATTATCAGCAACATTATCATTATCACTTTCACTTGAGGAAAATACAAATTTTTTATTTCTAAGTAACTCTAAGGAAGTAGTTCTCGTCTGCACATTGTTGTTATGTTCTTTTTTCTTTTTTATCAAACCAGTGTCTCTTTGTACAATTTTTTCCGACGAATGAATTACCGTACTTAAATTTCTCCTATAACTATATTTGTCTTTATCGCTAATAACCAACTTGGTCTGATCATACAAATCTTTTTCGGCGATACTTATATTATTTGGTTCATCTAATATATCATTAGTTGACACTTTTGATTTTTTTCTAGGATGTATTGATCGAACAAAATCATCTTCATCTGACGATGTAAATGTTAAAATTGAATATTTACCACGGTCATCTTGACTTGCTTTACTACAATTTTTATATCGAAATGTTTTATTCTGAAATGTAAACTCTGACTCTACTTTATCAAAAACTAGGCTTCCATGTTGTGTGACAATATCGTATGTATCATTTATTTTATCGTTATCTTTCTTGAATTTGACATTCATCTTCGATGAATAATTATTACGAACTGATGGAACAGCTACTTCATTTTTACAAGCCAAACTTTTAGAAATTTTCCTAATTTTAGATTCTCGTTTATTAGTTTGTAGTTCTGTATTGTGCGAAATTTTTTTATTAGGAAAAATATTTATATTTGTAACATTGCTGTTTTCCTTAAGGCATATATTCGCAGGTAATCGTTCCAATAAAACTCTGATTTCTTGAAGTTTTACATTATCTTTCTCAGTTGTTCTATATAAATTAGAAAAATGTGTTTCAGATTTATTTAATATTCCTTTTTCCCAAACAGCAGCATTATTTCTATTGAAGACTTGCATTTCCATCATTGTACTTGTACAATTTTTTACTGATAATGGCAATCGTTCCAATACAATTTTAATTTCTCGCAGTTTTACGTTACCCACATCATTTCTTTCATGTAAATAGGAATGTGTTTTAGATTTATTTGATAACACATTTTGCCAAATGGCGTTAGTTTTATTCGAAATATCTGATTCCATCGCTGCATTTGAATAATTTTTTGATGGCAATCCTTCCACATGTAACTCCTTATTGTGATGTCTCACACCTGTATCTTTCAAATTTGATAGTTTGTCATCTTTCTTTTCTGCATTCGAAGCAGAAAAGTCGTCTTCAACATCCAGTCTCAAATCGAGAGAGCAATCATTCAAAGACGAAACACATTGCGATGAATTTATATTACATTGGTAAATAAGAATACTTTCGTCGCTGTCTACCGTTTCTGATTCCAGATTTTTAATCTTGCAAGAATGTAACTTTTTAGATTTATTTAAATTTTTGTTGCATAAATCTTCTTTTTGTATGATATGAGTATTTTCGCCGAGCTTACAACGATTAAAAGACTGAATCCGTTCTAAAATTACAACTGGCTTTAGATCAAGAGATGCTACATTTTGTTTGCTAAAGTCTTCATTTCTCACAGAAATATTTATGTCATTGTTTTCCCGAAACGTAATGTCATCTTGTTTATTCAAATTATCATGAAAGTCTGATAAATTCTTGAAAGAACTGTCAATGGTAGTATCTTGAATCTTGTCATTTCTATCCTTGTTACTAATCTCTGTAATAATTTCATTGGAAATACAATTGAGTTTTCTTTTTTCTCTTTCCTTGATCTTCTTAGAATCGAGGTTCGTTTTAGCAGAGAATGAATGTTTACTTTTGCCTTTACGAGTTAAAAATGGTTCTCCTTTAATTGTATCATCAAGATCTAAAGCAGGATGTAAACTTTGTTTTGCTCCAGATAATCTATTTACACTATGTGTTTCGGTTAGTATTAGGTCTACAGGAGAATCCCTACCTATATATAATTTCTTACGATGGAGAGTTGTCAAACTTGTATTTTTTGCAATAATTTCATGCATTTCATTTTCTGATACTTGCTTCTTGTGAAAATCCATCTCTAACACTTTATTTTGATCTAAATCTGACACATCATTATTTTTATTGTTTACGATCAATCGTTTCGATGTTTTATTAAAGCGTCGTAAAATGGATGCAATATTATCTATAGTCTGTACATTTGAATTTCTTTGACTGATATTAGATTCATCTGTTTTATTTGTTTCTTCATAAAATAAACTCTGCGAATACACATTAGACTGTATTGCATTAGAAGATATTAAGGTGCTAGTAGCCACTTTACCACATATGTCTGCTGTCATACATTCTGTAGACATTGGATACGGTTCGGTATCCAAACTATCAACATTAACATTATCATTATCGTTGTCTTTGTGCGTTATCGAACGATTGATTCTGGGGATGATTTCCATATATTTAATCTTATTATTGGATGGAACTTCTTTTTCTTTAACAGCAACTTCCTTTAGGGGTTTAACCTCGACACATTTTGCACCTTTTATAATAGCTATAGTATCTGCTTTCTTTGTAATATTTGCGTTTGATAGAATGTAAGCCGCAGTATCTACAGAACTGCAAGACGAGTCATTTTTGCATTTTGTACCCTTATCTGCATTTGTGACCGGAGATATTAATAAAGATGCAATTTCTTTTTCGCTTAGAGACGAGCCAGCTTCGGATAATTCGTTCTCATCTAGAAGAGTCTTATAGGGTGGATTACCAGTATTTATCCAGTACTGTACGAAAGTTGCTGGTTTACGCATAGGTACTCTCTGTCCACAACTATACTCTCCTTCACTAACTACTTTGTTTTCTTCATTTTCTACAGGTTCTAAAGTATCAATATTTATCTCTATATCAGACATCTGAAAATAAAATATTAATTATTTGCAACACGCCAAACAGTATCACAGATAAGAATAAGAATTTTTAAATGTATTTAATAAAAAAAACAAAGTATACCTCCTTGGAATATTTATTCAACAAAGTGTCCCAAGTTTTCTTTCGAACTTCCAAAAATTTTTCCGATATTTGAAAATTAAAGATTTTGTCTTTCATCCTGGTAATTCTTCGTATGAATCAACAATATATTCATGAGAAATAATTATAGAGAACGTATAGATTATATAGATACAAATAAATTTACCTTTCAATACCTTCCGAATAAGACTGCGAAAGAAAATCATTATTAATGCTTTCATTCACTATGCAATTTTCCATAAGTTATTTTACATCACCGCGTCAGTAACGTTAAGTATTATATAATTTATAAACAAATTCATAAATTTAATTCGAACATATGAGAACTACCCGTGGAGCAGGAATGTCAAAATCTCATAGGTTTGTCGCGTTGTTTGCAGTCTACACTTTTTGCACTCAGCACTCTTCGTTTTTCTCTTTTAAGATAAATTTTCATGAGCTGTTCAAACCGGCTGTTTCAGCAACAAAAAGAAACAGCCTGAGTCAGAATTAACGAGTATCAAATATCCATTTTGATTACGTGATCCTTTTTGTCACTCAACAACCGATTAGAGCAGCTAATGAAATCAATATCCTTCGTTTCTTTCCTTTTCATAAAATAAAGAACTCAGATTGGTTAAATTTCTTATTCATTACACGCGTTATGCATTATGCAAAAGTCTGTGCTCCTTGCTTAAGACGGAGCACAGACTTATATAACGCATAACATAATGCATAAAAAAAATGAACCAATCGAAGTCCTTTATTTCTTTCCTTTCCATGAAATAAAAGACTCTGATTCTTGGTTGATTTCTTATACCTCTTGTTTTATGCGTTATGCAGTGCTGTGATCATAACACAGAACGAGAGCGGAACCAACCACAAGTGTTCTGCTATCAGTTGCAACTGGTTCTGCTCTTGTTTCACGTTACGTTATTCCGTAGTAAGCATTATGCCAAAACCTATTCTACAATAACTGTAATGTAAGACCATAACATAAATCACAACACGCAACGCTTGTCAAAACAGCGAATCAGAAGCGTCAATAGTACTATCGACTGTTTCTGATTGGCTGTCGCGACAAACATCACGTATGCGTTTTACATAAATGCGACTTAATGTCGACTTTTCTAATTTAAGTATAACATAATCAAATTCGCAGCGAAATGAATTATTTTTATTTCTTTATGTTACATTAACTCATGAAAACACATTGATATAATCAGTATTGATAAGTTGCACATACTTGAAATGAAATGAAGAAATGAGAAAATTGTTATATAATTGTTAAGAAAATTGTAACAATTAGATAAATTAGATAAATTAACAATTAAATAAATTGTTCATTTAAGCAATGGAATACTATTAATAGCAATTGTAATTACTTACGTCAAAGTTACAGCTAATCGTGCATCGGACGAAAGATTTTCAATTGCTATATTTTCTTAACTATGGAGTTCCAATAGCATTTTATATTGTTCAGGCTAGAATTGAATATAAGCAAAAAATTCTTCATGATCAGTTAATCTAATTTCGCGAAACAGGAATCCTTGTTATCGTCTTCTTTTATTGATTAGTCTGATCTACTAACATCTAATTTTTATTTTTTGTATTTGCAAAGCAATGATTTGAAGCGCAATACTTCGATTCAATAATAAAATAAAAAGCGTTATGAGACCTATCTTCAAATCAGTCTTTAAACTTAATGAATTTAATCATTCGCACTACATTGGATCATATTAAAAGCTTTATATAAACTATCTCAATGCAGATACAATATAATCAACTTTGACAATAAAATGATATATATACCACCTTGATCAAAAAGTTCCCGGAATTATCACCAGGTGATGCTCTGAGTCAGCTGATTTGAGTTCTGTTTTTTTGATTAGGTTGCCACATCTGTCATTGATATTCCCACCAAATTTTATCACTATAGCTTGACATTTGTAAAAGTTACGCCGTCTTGAATACATCTACCTCTGCACGTATTTTCGATTTTTTACAATTTTAAAAATGAAGTTAAATTTGCAACAACGAGTTTGTATTAAATTTTGCGTTAAAAATGGATTCAATGGTGTGAAAACCTTGGAAATGTTGGGAAACTGATTTTTTTCTGTTCGATCGAGTCAAAAACCCATTACGGGGAACGCGTTTTAACAGCCGAAAGGAGGTAATGGAAAAATCAAAGACGACTATACCGACAATAGAGTTCCAGAAATGTTTCGAGAGCTGGATCAAGCGCTGATATAAATGCGTTGCAGTCGATGGAGAGTACTTTGAAGAGGATAATATCACTTTTGATGAATAAAACTTGTATTTTAAATTTTCTGAATGAATTCCGGGAACTTTTTGATCAAGATAGTATATTTTGTTAAATAATATGATAATATCATTAGTAGATAGTTGTTTAAAATATTTATATACTTTTACATTTAATTTTGCTAATTTCATGCAAAGTAGCTTTTAATATGGTATATAATAATAATATGCTATATAATAATGCACTGAATTAGTACAGGGCCACCAATCTTCCCTCTTGTTCCGAGCGTTACTAGCACTTGTGGCGACCTCATAGCTATGATACAGGAAATGAAAAACTATTTAATATTTAATATGGCTGTTATATGGAAATCATCGTTTCCGGCCGACATTTTTATCGCTATATAAGCATATGGCTGCATTCATTATGAATGATCACGCGCTTTGAGCGCTTATAATATGGCTAAATTCATTATGGACGCTCACGCGCTTGTAATCATATTTTATCTTTATCAAGCGCTTTTAAATTAAAAAAGAACCCGTATAAAAATATATTACTACCCTAACAGCACAAACATCGATATGTCGACTGTAAGTTGACTTTGCTAAGTCAAGCCTTTAGAGTCGACTTTGTACGTCCTTTCAATATCGACTTTAAGATGTTTAATGCGATTTACGCTCACAAAAGCTTAAATGTAGAATCATTTCGTCCTTGTTGTTTAACTATAACAAGGATGAATACGTTGATGAGCGTTGTGGACATGAATCGGACCACAGCCTAGAATAGTCGACTTACAAAAAGTTAAAGTCGGCTTACAATCATCTTTAAAATGGGACATTGTATAACTTAGAATCATCTTCAAGTCATCTAAAGTCGACTTACGGAGGTCCATTTTTTAAACGTCTAGAAACTATAGTCGACTCAGAATCGATTTAGAGTCGACTTTGTGCTGTTAGGGTAGTGTTACTACTAGTGCTATTACTAGTGCAGGAATAAATTCGCGTCACTATAAACTACTGTTTCTTGCATTTTGTATTCAAATTATTTTTATATGTATTACAATAGTGCACTAAACAATGCCACTATGTTCCAGCAAAGACATTATAGCATTATAGTGTTGCTAGCGGGGACGCGTTTTAATACGCATGTGCCGCAAAACAGTCTATACTTCTGTAGCGTGATGTGACGATCCCTTGGCGAGACACTGCTCGTTCTAGCAGTAGCACTTATAAATTATTGCACTACTACACTACTGCACTAGTAGTGTCACAATTCATCCTAGTAGTGATATTACTAATAACACTAACGCGAATTAATAATTACACTTCTACACTACCAATCACGAGTAATATCAATACTTATACTAGTATAACACTACTATATTTCAATAGTGACACTACACTAGCAGTGACAGTAGTATATTTTTATGCGAGAAATGTAGCCAAACGTAGCAAATATGCCGATAAAAATGCCGATCGGAATCAGTGTTAATTGTTATGGCTTCTATACACTGAACGCGGAAACACTTGCCGCGCAAAATGTGATGTAGTCAATGAACTTACAGCTCCTAATGTGTTCATTGATTACCGCGTTTCATTTTGCTGCACAGTAAGCGTTTCCGCGTCTAGTGTGCAGGAGCCATTAGACAGACCGGATTTCAGACGCATGCGCGTCCAATGTAGCTTCAGTAATGTACCGGTCACTAGTAAATAGATCATTAATTGTTTATGTAAAATTTTTTCAAAAATGTTGAAAATTTTATATATTTTACATATTTTACATAGGTATACACATCTAACAACACTGATCAAATGTATCAGAAATAATGACAGTCATATTAAATTAATTTCTCATTTCTTATGTCAGCTATGAGGGCACCACAAATGCTAGTAACAGAAAAAATCATGGCAGTTTGGTGGCCTTGATCTAGTGCAAATGACCGAATTCGCTATTAGGGGCTTCACACAATAAAAGGAATAGAGAATAGAGAATAAGAATTTAAAGAAACTATGTATTTCACAATACATTATTTCTGATAGGTTGAAATTCTTATTCTCTGTTCTCTGTTCTCTGTTCCTTTTATTGTGCGGAACCTCTTACAATTAATAACCTCGGAAACAAATAAATCAGCTATTGCTTTCATCAGATCAATGTTTCTGTCTGATTGGCTGTCTCGACAAGCATTGCGTATGCGTTTTGCGTGTTGTGATTTGTTATGGTTTTACGATCGTTGTAGAATAGGCTTAAAAATAGTCACTTTTCGTAATAGTAACTGTAAACGTAATATAGGTTTTCGACTAATCGCGTTGCTCGATTCGGTCGTTTGTAACTGAAACCATAATAATCAAACAACGTGATAGGTCGAAAATCTTATTGTTATTGTTATGGAAAGTGTGTATGACTAGCTTAAACTTAAGCTGATGAGCCAATCAAAATATTGCTTTAGATCTACGTAATATGACGGAAATAGCAGTAAACTCATTCATAAAGCAGGAAGTACAGACTCTTGCATAATGCATAACATATGAGTTAACATAAGAAAATGAACCAACCAAAATTCTTTATTTCCTTCCTTTTCGTGAAATAAAAAAACTCTGATTGGTTGATTTTCCTATGCCTCATGTTTTATGCAAAAGTCTGTGCTTCTCGCTTAAGGCAAATTTCAATCGGTTGAGATCCCCAAATCTCTTTTTTTTTTACTCTGTGATCTTAAGGCCATTCTACATTGGTCATATCGTAGGGTCGGAAATGCCGTAAATATCATGCAACTTTAAAATTGAAGCATCGGATTGGCTGAAGCAATTAATAGTAACTAATAGTAACTAATAGTAACTAATTAGGCAACTAGGAAACCGTGTACCACATATCACCTGTTTCATTTGCTGATATTACATGGAACGCGGTTTGCAGCATGGGCTAGTAACAAATTCACATTACTATACACTGCTATGCATTTTTTAATGGAATTAATTGATTTAAACGCAATTATTAAGTAAATCTGTTAAAAAACTAAGAGATCGATAAAGCGTACATAAACATAAGTTAATATATTTAAATAAAAAAATTTATACTAATGTAAGTTTGTCATTAGCCCGTGCCGCAAATTGCGCTTCATATAATATCAGCGAAAGAAACAAGCGATACGTGGTTTCCTATTTGCCTAGTCACTATTAGTTACTGTACCGCGTATCACACTCGTAATGTAATCGCATCCGAATCTTCATAAAGACAATAAGAAATCGATTCTGATCGCTTCTGATCTCGAAATGAGGCGAAAATTATAAAAGTGAGCGAATTTATTAGAATATTAATTATTTCATTGATCAACACCTAGTAAATTTGCTTGCTTTTGTAATTTTCACCTTGTTTGAACATCCAGAATCGACTCTCACTGTCTCGAAATGAGGTGAAAGTTATAAAAGTGAGCGAATTTATTAGGATACTGATTATTTCGGGTACGGTTAACGCCATGCTACAAATGCTTTGAAACGTTTTTTAATTGGTTAATTTGCAAAATTCTTTCTTTTAATTGGTCCATTAAACGTTTCAAAGCGTTTGTAGCGAGACTTTGTCCACAGCCTTCATTGATCAACACCTAGTAAATTTGCTTGCTTTTGTAATTTTCACCTTGTTTGAACATCCAGAATCGACTCTCACTGTCTCGAAATGAGGTGAAAGTTATAAAAGTGAGCGAATTTATTAGGATACTGATTATTTCGGGTACGGTTAACGCCATGCTACAAATGCTTTGAAACGTTTTTTAATTGGTTAATTTGCAAAATTCTTTCTTTTAATTGGTCCATTAAACGTTTCAAAGCGTTTGTAGCGAGACTTTGTCCACAGCCTTCATTGGTCAACACCTACTAAATTTGCTCGCTTTTGTAATTTTCATCTTGTTTGAAGATACAGAATCGACCCCTAGCGTTACTAAGTGTTGATCAATAAAATAATAAAAAGTATTCTAATAAATTCGCTCATTTTTATAATTTTTACCTTATTTCAAGATACAGAATTGATTCTCAGATTGGTGAAAAATGGACGATGGAGGTAAATTTTATCCCTACAATACTGATTTTTCACCGACCAGTAACGCTGTTGTCTGTATTAGCGTTTTCGGCCCGACCGAGTTTGCACTAACCTGGGTTAAAGTATGCACTCCTATTGGTAGATTAGTAGACATGTAACATCAACCAATAGCATTTTCTAATCCAAGTTGATGCAAACTCTGTCGGGCCGAAAACGCTGTATGAGAATTCGGACTTAAGTTTCTCTCTGATGATAACATTAACGTTTCTCTTATTTAAAAGGTGAGAAGTGTTGTATCATCTTTCAAATTTCTTTCTCAATTTGATGCGATTATGTCAGAGATTAAAGATGATCCACGAGAAGTTCTCGTTCTTTTGAATTCATTAGGATTCGTCGGCATCACTGCGATTCAGCTAAAAGCTTTTATGAAAGGCAAGTGCAACACTTGATTTGTCATTTTGTTTCATTCCGTTTTATTTTTATTCTACAATAATAATAATAATGTTATTATTGCCACATTATTGATCGATACATATTTGTTTATATTATTTTTTCTTCCCATTGTTATTTTGTTATAAAATCGATATATGTTTATTTTGTTATAAAACAGTTAAGATTTTGCTATATTTTTCTTTCTAGATTTGAAAATATATAGAAAGATAAGAGAACGTGAAAGGCAGCAACAAAAAGATGAAATTAAAACGAAAATAATTAACAAACAACAGACTCTGCTCAGGGAAGCTTATAGACATCACAACATAGCAAATTATTCCTTGAGCAATATCATTCCTTCTGAATCTTCAAATTCGCTTGATGATGAATCAGTGGTAAAAGTTCGAATAAGATGTATCTCTAAGGAGGAAGATGTACAAAAACAAAGATGCTCCAAAACAAACGTGATAAAATCAGATGAGAAATTATCACAAACAAAATGCAACAAGCCAGATGCTATTGAAGTAGCTGAATCTAATAGGATTTATTGTGAACAAAATTATTTTAATACTAAATCTTATCCAGTTATTACAAGCTCAAAAAGTGAAATTAAACAAATTTCTAAATGTTTAACAAAAAATAGTCATTTGGCAGAAAGATGTAAGCAAAATTTAAAAATAAACGAACAGATGAAACCAACGACTTCGATACATCCATCAAGTGCGCCGGTTTTATCAAATTATATAAGTCAATCGGAATCAAAGAGCGTTACATCTGATCCGACTGGAAATATTCGTACACAAAGTGCCTTATCTGCAAAA